AAATAAATAGCCACTTCTGATAGTGGAAGGAGGTTTGGCAGCAGAGTCATGCAGGGATTTGTACTCAAGCTTACATTGCTCAGCATGGCTTAAAACTGGAAAAAGAGAAGTGCATCACAAGATGGGAGTTTGTTGAGGTTATTAAGCATCCAAGATAGTAAAGATGATGAACAACTGGGGAAGCTGCAGAAAAGTCTCACAATAGACACCAACTGGGCAATAAAAAGGCAGATGAAATTCAATGTAGCTAATTCTAAAATTGTTTGCTAAAAAAAAAAATATTTTTACATACATGATAGTAAGGTCTCAACTGACATTTTCTGCTTGGGAGTTGGACCTAGGAGCTACCTAAGTGTGTAAGAAAAGGGTAGCTCAGTGCTCAGCTGCAGCCAAAGCAGCAAGTTCCACTACTACAAGAGGAACAGAGAATAAAACGGAAAACACCTTCAAGCCACTCTGTACATCTACAGTGCAGCTACACCTCCAAAAACTATGCATGGCTATGGACCCTCTGGTTCAAAACACACGCAGCACAACAGAAAATTATACAAAAGGGTAACAAGAACGAACAAAAGCATGGAATGGTTTTCCTATGAAGAATGAATAACTGGATTAAGACTTCTCAGCTTGAAAAGAGAAAATGGAACAGAGGGAAACACCAATGTGTTCCAATATTGTGATTTCTTCAGTAGTTAACAAATACACAGTTTTAATCTGCTTCCAAAGCCCTTTGTGAGGTGGGGCTGTCTTACCAAAACCTGGGTAACTCCATTCTGTTGGGCAGATAGGACAGCCAGTGCCAATGCTCAGGCTGCTGAACCTGCAAATCACTCCTGAAGGACCTCAGCACTCCCAGGATGTAAAACTAGATGATTTAGAGATGTTATGGAGAGCTGTATAAACAGAGCTGTCGTGGCTGGATACAGGTTGGAAGGGTGGCAGATGGCGATGAGCATTGTGCTCTAAGCAACTGAGTGGCATGAATGCATGCATGTCTGTGAGGGAACACAGGATGAGAAAATCAAGAGCCCATGGGTCAGGAGAAGCTAACAAAAGTGATATTGTTGTGGGTGTCTCCTACAACCCACTGAATCGAGAAGGGAAGACAGATAGAACCTTCTTTGAACAACTGGAAAGTGATTCAGGACAGACAAGAAGAGTTCCTGTTTTCTGTAACTGGAAAAACCTGCCAATTGGAAAAACCTGTGTCTTCACTCACAAGATCTTCGCTTATGAGATGTTTTGTTAGGTCTGCCACATGTCTGTGTCTAGTAGCAAAATTTCAAGGACAAAATTAGTAATCACACTATAAGACTGAGTCAGGGATGCAGTAAGCTGGACATACACAAGTCCATGGGGCTGACAGTGCAAAAGAAACTGGCCAATGTAATCATGAAACTGCCCTCTATCAGTTTTGAAAGGCTGTGGTGACTGGTGAAGTTCCAGATGATTGAAAGAAAGAAAATGTCATAGCCCACTTCAAGAATGGCAAGAAGAATGATCTGGGGAACTACAGGCTGATCAGTCTATCCTCAGTCCCCTGGAAGTTTACCAAGAAATCTTCAAAGTCATTTCCACACTCAAGATGGACAGGACAATGATTTGGAAAAGCTATCATCGTGTTGTACGAACAGTAAACAAGACTGATTGCCACCTCTGATGAGATCACTTCGTTGATGGATGGACAAAGAATAGTGAATTTAACTTTCCTTGACTTTAGCAGGGCTTTCCACGTAGTCTTCACAGTATCCTAGTCGCCAAATCAAGGAAACAGACTAGATGGGTGGACTACAACATGGGTGAGTAACTGACTGGATTGTCAGACTTAAAGGGCATTGGACAACAGGTTAAATTCTAACTGGTAGCCAACTGCAAATGGCATTCTTCTGAGGTCAACACTTTTTTTTCAGTTACAGTGCTGCTCAACATTTTCATCTACATCTTGCATAAGGGGATGAAATGCACCCTCAGCAAGTTACCATATGACCTCCAACTGGGGGCCATAACTGATACACTGAAAGGCATGGCTACCACTCACAGAGACCTTTATCAGCTGGAGAAAGGTACCAATGAGAATCACACCAAGTTCAATAAAAGCAAATACAAGCCCTGCACCTGGCATGGACTAACTTGGTATGACAGCACAAGCTAAAGAACCTACTAGATAGGGAGCAGCTCTGCAAAAAGAGATGTTGGGATCCCGGTGAACAGCAAGTTGAACATGATTAAGTGGGGCACCCTTGCAGTGATAAGGCCAACAGCATACTGGGTGGTATGAGCAAGGAAGTTGCCATCAAGTTGGCAGAAATTATTCTTCCTGCGTACCGAGCGCTCCTCAAACCACATCCATAAGGCTGCGTACAGTTTTGGGCTCCTCAGTACAAGACAGACATTGACAAACTGGAGAGAGTTCAGATGGTCAGGGAGCGACAGCATATGATGTGGAAGAAGAGCCTGAAAGAGAAACTGCAATCTTCCAGCACCTAATGGGGGATTATAGAGAAGACAGAGACAGAATATCTCAGAGGTACGGAGTGAAACAAGAGGGAAACATTACAGGTTTGAACATGGCAAATTCTGACTGCAGACTAGGAAGTAACTCTTCACCATTACAGTGGTTAAGCACTAGCACACATTGCCCAGAGACACCATGAAATTGCTACCTTTGGATATTTTCAAACCTGACCAGACAAGGTTCTTGAACAACTTAATTTCAAAACTTTGAGGCTTGAGCAGCTTTGTGCCTGCTTTCAGCAGGCACTTTGGACTAGACAACCTCCAGAGGCCTCTTCTGACATACAAATATATATAAACCCCATAATGTTAAACCATAAAACCATAAAAACTAAACAAAGCCAAACCTACACAGCTTTGTAATGCTGACACGCAGACATGTCCCATGGGGGGAATAAAGAAATGTATAATAGATAACACCATACACTGATGGAAATAAGATGGAAGGACTATTATGAAGACCAACTTATATCAAACAAACCAAGACGGGATTTAAGCATGCAAGATTACCAATATGTGTCATAGCTCCTATTTTATCATTCAGCTTTACTGGAGCAAATGATTTAAAACACCTCAGTGAGAATCAAAAGACCCAGTCTACAGAGGCAAAGCTGAGTCCAACATAAAAGTGTTTTTGCTACGTTTATTTTGTAATTATCCCACTGACACACTCTGCCAAAAGCTGTGGAGCTTGTGGCACTGCAGTCATTTTTGAAGCCTAGTTAAAATACTGTGTGAGTCTGCAATACTTCATAAATGAACACGCAGAAGAATAAGTACAATTGACGTTTTATCTCTATTTTATTTCACAGAAGAAATGCATTCTGGGGTGAGGAGAAAGTTCAGGGAAAGCCTGCAGTTCTTAAAGAACATTGTTCATAATTTAATCAAAACAATAAGTAAAAGCCATGAAACGTGCATATTCAACTAACTGAATATGCAACTAACTAAACTTAAATAATGGGAAGAAAATTAATGAAGCCTACCTTCAGTGAAGCACACTTCAAAATCTGGCTTTTTTTTTTATAGACAAAGTGTTTTCTGCACACTATCACCTCTATTTTTCCTGACAGTAGGGCACTCAATTTTTTACAAAATTTGGTTACAAGTACCATCAATGTAAACAATTAAAACTTTCATTTTTAGTTAGGTATCAGTACACAGAACAGAAATACTTGGAGACAGAACCAGTGAGACAGCATAAATTCAGAGTCTGTGGGGACTAATTTGGTTTTCTTCCCATTAGGAATGTGCTAAAATCTGGAGCTGAGATGCTTGAGGAGCTGCCCATTAATACCACACATGAACCTCAGGACTGACACTTGAACTATCCCGTACTTCTCTGCAGATCTCCAATACTGGTGCTTCCTGTTGCATCAGATGTGCCTTCTTCTAGAGGCATGCCCTAGGTGGAAAGATGTTTCAAAGCCTCCTCTTCATGAAAAACCCCACTCAGCTTTTGTCAGGAGTTTGGGTGTTGGCATGGTGCCAGGATCAGACAGCTACATCAGGTCAAATGAGTTTTTTATTTCATGTTCACATCAAATCTTATCTGTATTATTAAAATATTGTGAAAACGCTCTTTTTTTTTCTTAATCCAAATAAGGAATACTAAAATTTTTAACAGATTTGAATCAAATTTATCCTGTTTTTTGTCACATCTGGAAGTAGCTAGTGTTGATAACATGTCTGTCCAATAAATATACAATGCTATTTCATCATTTATTTTTGTACGACCATGAACATGACACAAAATAATGAAGCATAAATTTAAACCTGTGGAGCCTGACTGTCACTGCTTGTACGGTGAATTGCAGGCTGATAGAAAAAGTGGCTAGTCTGACTTCACAGTGTATTTTGGCAGGGTACAAACAATAACATGGAAGGGGACTTTAGATAAATTGGGTTCACCATGTTCCAGGGGGATTTGATGTAAAGGTCATGAAAGTCAGAGGAAAGACTTCGTGGGCTCTGAAGGAGCATAGAGAAGGTAAACACATCCACACCATGACAAATCCTTCATTAGTGCTATTTTTGGTCCCAGAAAGAGAACAGTTTACCCCAAAATGCAGTAAGCTTACACAGTTTTAGAGGGTAGGAGAAGGCTGATAAGCTTCTGTGCTCTTAGAGCTTGAATAGACTTCCTGTTTATTCATTGTGTTTAGCACAAAAGACAAAGTCTACCTCTGGTGGTACATGCTATGATACTATCTCACAGACAGGAGACTTAGACTTCAGCTTGATGTCTTTTTCCCTGTGTGGAGAAAACAACCACAAAAAGGAAAAAGCCTTGAGGAGCAGCATTCCGACTCTTGAGTATCCCTCTGGCCTCTTCTGGACTGGGGGTGCAGGTTTATTGGAATTCCTTTGCCTCCCCTATAAACATGTACTCAGTTTCCCCCAGGCTTCCTCCCAGAATTGTTTGTAAAAAACTGTGCACTTCCTTAAATGGGCTAGGGAAGCTGTTCCATTTTTTGTAACTATTATTTAGAGTATGTGTGCTTTTCTGCTTTTTTTTTTTCCTTTTTTTCCCCCCTTTTTCTGCAGAGCAGCAATTCTTTTGATTAAAATTACCTAGTAATTTCTCAAAAAATGAGTTTTTATTCCACACACCACAATGCCATCATGGTAGGCCTTCAGCATCTACACCTGTACATAGGCTACATCCATCATTATACATACACATTTTTACGTGGTTATTTTCTCAGTGGCTAGACCAGAGCTGCAACCAGGGATACTTCTCTACCAAAAATGTAACTTTTCAGAACGTGCACGATGAAATCTGTTTATGTGACCTAAATCCTGGAGAAGGTACTTAACTTTTTACTTACATTTTTTTTTAAATACCAAATTACCAGAGCAAAACAGGTTATCAAGAATGTGTATTTTGAAAGCCAGTAAAATTTGACTTGTTTTCCCTTTGGAGAGAAGTATTTGAGAAGAAATGTGTTTTACCCAGAAGTATGCTTTCACTGGAAATACAAAGAATAAGTTTCTGCATTAATTATTTTTTAACAGAAAAATATCAATCCTTTAAAAAAACATGGAGCTGTCATACATTTGGGACTATATAAAAATGCTGGGTTATCTTTCAGTAAGCTGTGTATTGCCTGAGTTAGAAGTAGCAAACATGGTGTACTCGGGTTACCCCTGTCCACACAAGTGGTTCAGACAACAGCCCAGATAGTTCCCTTCCAACTGGAAATGAAGGGCTTTTTGGACGGGAGGGGTTCAAAATGTTCTCTAATGTTTCCCTCTTGGCACTTGCTGCATCTGGTCTGTCAGAGATACAGTAGAGCTTCCTCTTCCATGGGGAAGGAATGAAGTTTCTTCAAAAAAATTCTATAAATACATTGGCAGCAAAAGGAGGGCTAATGAGGGTCTCTATCCTTTGCTGGATGCAGAGGGTAACAAAGTGTCAGGGGATGAGGAAAAGGCTGAGGTACTTAATGCCTTCTTTGCCTTAAGTCTTTAATACCAAAACCAGTTTCCCAAAGGATATCCAGCTACCAGAGCTGGAAGTTAGAGACAGGGAGCAGAATGAAGCCCCCATAATCCAGGAGGAAAGGGTTCCAGTCAGACACCTATGTGCCTAGACAGGATGCACCCGAGAGTAATGAGGGAAGTGGCAAAAGAGCTTGCCAAACCACTTTCAATCATTTACCAGCAGTCCTGGTTAAATGGAGAAGTCCCAGTTGATTGTAAATTAGCAAATAAAATGCCCATCTACAAGGGTTGGAAGGAAGATCTGGGAAACTACAGGCCTATCAGCCTGACCTTGGTACCAGGGAAGGTCATGTAGCAGATCACCCTGAGGGCCATCAAATGGCATGTACAGGACAACCAGGGTATCAGGCTCCCAGGATTTACAAAAAGTAGGTCCTGCTTGACCAACCTGATCACCTTCTATGACAAAGTGACCCACTCAGGAGATGAGGGAAAGGTGGTGGATGTTGTTGACAGTAAAGCGTTTGACACCATCTCCCACAGCATTCGCCTGAAGTAATTGGCTGCACGTGAGAGGTGTACTCTTTGTTGGGTGAAATACTGTCTGGATGGCCAAGGCCAGAGAGTGGTGGTGAATGGAACTAAATCCATTTGGTGGCTGGTGACTAGTGGTGTTACCCAGGACTCAGTATTGGGGCCAGTCCTTTTTCACATCTTCATCAATGATTTGGATGAGGGGATTGAGTGTATCCTCAGTCAGTTCACAGAAGACATAAAGTTGGGCAGGAGTGTTGATCTGCTGGAGGGTTGTAAGGCTCTACAGAGAGATCTTGACAGACTGGGTCAATGGGCTGAGGACAACGGTATGAGGCTCAATAACATGAACCAAGTGCTGGGTCCTGCACTTGGGTGACAACAACCCCAGGCAGAGCTACAGATTGGGGAAAGAGTGCCTTGAGAGCTGCTTAGTGGAAAGGGACTGGGGGGTGCTGATTCACAGCCAGCTGGATATGAGCCAGCAGTGTGCCCAAGTGGCCAAGAAGGCCAATGGCATCCTGGCCTTTGTCAGCAACAGTGTGGCCAGTAGGACCAGGGCAGCAATTGTCCCACTTTACTCAGCACTGGTGAGGCCACACCTCGAATCCAGTGTTCAGTTTTGGGCCCCTCACTACAGGAAAAATATTGAGGTGCTGAAGTGAGTCCAGAGAAGGGCAATGGAGCTGGGGCAGGGTCTGGAGCAAAATCTTATGAGGAACAACTGAGGGAACTGGGGCTGTTTAGCCTGGAGAAAAGAAGGCTCAGGGGAGACCTCACTGCTCTCTACAACTACCTGAAAGAAGGTTGTAGTGAGGTGGTGGTCGGTCTCTTCTGCCATGTCACAAGTGCAAGGATGAGCAGAAATTAACCTCCCCGACCAGGGAAGTTTCAGATTAGATATTAGAAAAAAATTATTCACTGAAAGAGTGGTTAGGCCTTGGAATAAGTTGTCTAGGGAGGTGCTGGAGTCAGTCTCTGGAAGTGTTCCAGAGGCAGGTGGATATGGCACATGGGAATATGGTTTAGGGGTGATTATGGTAGTGCTAGGTTGACACTTGGACTAGACAGTCTTGAAGGTCTCTTCCAACCTTGACGATTCTGTGGTTCTCCCCCTCCTCACCACTGCCCGGTCTCAGAGGTTAGAAGGAACAGTGTGTCTCCTCACAGGAAACTTCTTGCCTGACTCTACTCGAGAGGTACTGCTGGGATCTGCTGTGCTTAGAGCTGCCTTTGGAACTTGTGAAAGGGAAATAAGACCCCTTTCTTCTCCCGTCTTTCTTGAGTTAAAGGAATTTCTCAGAAAGTTAAAGCAGTTTGGTATCAAATTAATCTTCATTTTCTGCCAAATTAAAATGGAATACTATATGTCTCTTCTGGCATTTCTTTCACCACCAAAGGGTCAGTCACAGAAAACATCCACCTTGCAGTGCTGTGGAAAAGCCTCTGTGCTGATCATCTCCTCCAGTACAAAGGTAAAGGCGCAAGCTCAGACTGCTTTACTGTACCTAGTTTGAGAATACCTATCTCAGAGGGTTCTGAGTATTTTCTTCAAATATTTAACATGCTCTGCTGCATCACCTTCTCCTCAGTGAGGAACCTTCTGTATGCTCAAGGTGGACCCGCTGCTGCCATTCACAAGCAGAACATGTTTGCCCTGGAAGGTATAAGATAGAGAAACCTCAGATGTAAAATTCTTCTTCGTTAACTAGTGAAGCTGGGCAAACATGATTGTCCAGAGAGCATGGAGCTGCTCTCAAGTACTGTTTGTGATGCTTGGTGGGAGATGCTGATGTGAAAGAACTGGAAGACCATTCAGAAAGAGAATGCAATGAATCATCAACTGACTCAAAAGTATTGCACATGGCTGACACAGGCCTTCCACTGGTGGCTGCCTGTTTAGCCTTACTGACAGTTTGTTTCTGTGGGGGAAGAGAGTCTGCCAACTCACTGCAAAATCCATTAAGGGAAGAGTATGCAGAAACCACAGACAGGTCCGAGAAGGACAGCTTCATCCCTGTATCCACATCAGTCTCTTGGGCACCTTCCAAGTCATCAATGTTAAGCTTGGGGCTGCATTTCCATGTTTTTAACCTGGTTGCAGTTGACCCAGAATTTAAAAAATGAAATGGTTCACTGAAATGAAATGTCTCTGACGCCGAAGAGGAGTTCACTGTGGGCAAACAGAACAGAGACCTGCTTCGTTGAAATGACCATGAAATGCTGGAGACACTGCTGGATCTGTGCGTGAAGTCTCTCCCATCACTGTGTCTCAAGTCCTCCTGGGAGAAACCAAGAAAATGACCAAGGCCGTTCTTGGGATGTACCTTTTTTTGACCCATTTCTTGTGGTTGTTCAGAGATAGATAGGTGGCTCTGAGGAAGAAAGGCTGGCAGAGTGGTGAAGTGGGAATCTGTTGACAGAGATGGATACAGTTGCTTGTTCTGCTTTGCAGCCTTCCTACACCAACTGCGTGCTTGCTGCAGCCAGGAGAGGGAAAAAAGAAGATCACATTAATACAGAATTGGCAGTTTTACAACCATAAGGTCTCCGTTGCTGAGTTGTTACTGCAAATAATTACGAAACAGACTTCAGTCAGTATGCTTGCAGCAAATGTTTCACTTCAGTAACAAAGAGAAACCACCCTGCCAAAATCCCAAATATTTACATAAGGAACCTCAAAGACAACAAGAATAAATGGTAGAGAAGCCCTGCCTGGGGGGCTGAATTACGCTAGCTTTAAATTCTCATTTCCTATTGACTTGTTCAGATTCATTCATATTCTCTCTTCCTACATTACTGCCTTAGTGGACAACTGAAGAACAAAAATGAATACATGGAAGATATATGTTACCAAAATGATAATTTCACATTTCTTCCTTGCTGTGGTTTTTTTTTTGTTTTCCCCTCTGAAACATCAGAAAGCCTTCAGCAAGGAAGCTCATTCTCGGTCTTCCCAATGGAAATTTACTACTTCTTTCAACTCTTTCACATTTTCTCTTTCACATCTGGTTAGCTGAGCAGTGCACCCTAGAACCCACTTGCTCTGTTAACTAGCTCATAGTGACATTATGCACAGACATATAATTTGCTTGTAGACACATAGACTGAAGACTGAAACTGATGGCTGTGATCTGAATTTGGACCTGAATCTCAGTCCTATGGCAGAATTCAGTTGTCTGCCTGTCAGATACTCAAGCAGGGAAAGCAGCTGTGACAAACGGGAAGCCAATATCCTTCTCAAGAAGCGGCTGGATGCCAGGTGGCTTTCCTATGGGATTAGACACTGATGTGTGGGTAACTGCACTGTGTTCGAGCAATCAGGTTTTTCATCATCCCATTTATTTCAGTGAGGCTTTTAGAAGTTTGCCTTTCAAAAAGTTTAATTTAAATTCTTGTTACTGGAATTTCTTGCATAATAAAAAATGCTTGATCTGTCTCCCAAAAGGGACAGAAACTAACGGGACAAAGTGCAAGATATATATTCTTGAAGATAAACAATAATCTCAGCTATGGGACTTGTCAGTTGGAAACAACAGAGGAGAAAGAAAGAACTGGGATTCCTGATCATTATGTGCTATTAAAGTGACAAGGCTGCAACAACATGATATGGGGCAGTTTCAAGTGAGTTAAAAAAGTCTTAATGCACTATGGACAACACTGCTAAGGCCTCATCCAGAATGCGCACATGATTAAAGTCATGCACATGTGAAAAAGAATAAATTTGAACTGATAAAATGGAGCCACAGGAAAAAAAAAAGACGAATATCTATTAAAAAACTGCACCACAAACTAATAAAAGGTTTCTAAGAACAACAACAGGAGAAGAGTCTTACGGGGCAAGTAAAGGATAAAGACAGAGCTTCTTCATTTTAGCAAAGAGATTATATGACATGACAGAAAGGGCTGAGACCTGGCAACAAAGGAGGTCTTTTGTATGCCCTGTCTCTAAAAGAACTCCATACATTGCTGCTTTTAACATCTTGCTAGTGCACATCACATTGTCTTAGTGACCTATATCTGTCATAACCATCTTCTGTTTTTTATTGAAGTGATTTTAGAGGCAAAAAAGGATTTCCACATCTGCAAAAATTGTTTTGCTCATTCATAATCAGTTAGGTAGAGATTTATAGGACAGCCAAGCCACAGAAGTTCACTTAGATGTTGTAGATTAATATATATACACATATATATCTGTAATGAAATATGTTAATTCATAACCTATTTCTGTGTAATACAGTAAACTGTTTTCCTTAATGCCATAAAGAATTAAATTAATTAACGGAGAAATTAAGAAATTGAGTACATATAAGTCAAACAGAATGAGTCAATTACAATAAAACATTAGCCAGAAATCACTTTAGACCTCTACACACATTATTTTATTTATGCAACACATAAACCAATTTGCTTAAAAAATACTCAGCAAGATAAAAGGCTTGTGCCCATGAAGAAAATACCAGCTCTTTCTTAAATGAAGACATTTTTTGGATAACCCAGAAATAAGAATATGACATGCTGAAAGTACACAGCCAGATCACTCTTTTGATGGGTTTGTCTAAGAAAACACTTCTCATTATATTTTGTTTGCATTAACCAAAGGCACTATTTTTTTTCTGCAGTAGCTCTGTTATCAGATATGTTACATGAACTCAACCATCATGCTTGGTGAATCAACAGAAGCACCTCCAGAACACTTCTACCTCTAAGAGAGAAAATCATGGATTGCCCCACCATGGCTTGTTTTCACGCTATTTTTGTATTTTTGTAGACTTAGTTGATAATTTGGTAGATCAAGCATCCAGAGAAATCAAGGATTCAAGCAAGTCTCGTCTTCCTGTTTGTGAAAAGGTAAGGATGGGACCACTGGTAACAACTTGGATGAAACTGTACCTGAAAACATACGGCTTTTGGGAACAGATCTGTACTTGCACCCCAGAGAGTTCTGTGCGCAGTACAAAAGCGTTGCCTTTACCTTGCACAGACTATACCACCTGTCCACATGTATATATATACATATATATGTATATATATATATATTTATATATATATACATATACACATATGTATGTATATACATATACATACATATGTATATATACACACGAATATATGTGTACATATGTATATATGTATATATCCTACACAGGCATCCTGGGTAGGGTTTAGTTGTCTACTTAATAAAGCCAATGGAGTCTGGCGAGCAATTCAGCTTTCCCTGAAGAAATTCTTGTGTCTGTTTAGCTGAATTGCTCTCTATGTCCTTGGGCTGCACTGAGTACATACCCACCAACTACAGTGAGAACATAGACTGTAGCTGACACAAAAATACCTGAAGGTAAACATCAATTTTAGGTGTTTGTGATTTGGAGCTGAATCAAATCCTGCAGAGATGACTCCCATGTGTTTATTTGGCTTTGGTGTGTACAGGAGGCATTTTGCACACTAATAAAAATCTCATGTATTTAGATGATGGTAATAATTTCTTATTTATTGACATAACTTCTGACATCTGTTCTAAAGAAAAAGTAATTTAATTTGGTCTCTCAGGTTACCACTATTAAGAGATAGTTGGTCCAATTCAGTTGTGTAACTGTACGTATTTGCTGTATCCTGGCTGGCTCAGAAGCACACACACAGGCCACTCTGTTACAGGGATTTCAGTGACTGGGAATGTTGCTGGGCATGTGTAATTTATTAATACAGGGAAAATCTTAAGCATTTTGGGAGTAAAGCACAGACATAAGAACAGCTGCTTTGAGCTCCTTCTATTATTTTGAAACTCTCTAGTTTAAATCAGCTTCTGTTAGTTTGGGATTGTAGATATGCAACACGATGACTACAGGTGCAACCACATTTTCAGGACTCAAAAGGATGCTCACCCGAGGCATCACCAAAGAGGATGTGAACCCAACGGCAATACCACAATAAATGGATGAGGTGAGATGAAACACTCCTGCTAAAACCCCTGTTCTCATGCAGGAACTTTCTATCCAAAATGCAGATAAAAAGTAAAAATTCAAAGGAAAGGGGAAATGCACTTCTAAGTGGAAGTACTTGGAAGGGGCAACCTGCCCCAAACAGCCAAATAACTTTAGGTATCTGGGCTAAAACTAACAACAATTTACTTCAGGTAAGATACTAGTTTTAGAGTTGTGTTATTTTAGACTTTTTTTCCCTAGCTCTTTTAATGTTCCTGTGGTCAGACAGAGGCATTTCATCTTATACAAGGTATTTGCTGTTAATCCTGATACGGAGTCACAGCTTCTGGTCAAGCCCAGTTGGCCTGGCAGGAGGTAACAGTGGATCAGCGAGGAGAAGGGGACAAGTACAGCCTGCCTTAGGATGGCTGCCTGCAGGGCAGGCCAAGTGACATCACTAACACAGCTTATTTCCAAACAGCTCTGTTTATAGGAAGAATTGCTTACCTCAATAATTTTTTTTAGATAAATTCAGATTTAGAAGACCTATTTTCCAATGCTGGTCTTCATTACATGGGCCAAAAAGGGAAACAATAGGGAGATATTATTTTAATACTTTCATCTTAAAGCAATATAACTGAAGACTTTCCTGGCTATGAGAATACCAGACTGCACAACTGTAGAATAGGTAGTGCGTCAGAAGCTCCATCTCATGAAATACTAGTGAATAAAGATTACAGGCTAATCCTATATTGTAGAGAACTGGATTATGTGGACTAATGAGACTTTTCTATATCTACATTCTCTAACTTGTCAGAGATCACAGAGAGGATTCAATGATTTAGCCAGGATTAAAACTCAGGCAAAATTAGCTTCTAGTCCTGTGCCAAGCCCATTCACTGTGCTCCCTTGTGCCACCCTGGCATGACACATGGAGTGTTGCATCCAGCCTATGAATTATGTGGTCGCTCCTCTTTAGTTTTTCGAGGAGGCTTATCCCACCTCCTTAAGCCTGCCATAGGCTTTGGAAACAGTTGCATCTTTAATTTTCTGAATTTTTTTTTCAAGTCCTCATCTTCAGCCTTCTCATGGCTTGCTCTCAGCATTGCCTGTTACCTCCCTGCAGCCTGGAAGAGTCCTGCCTGGTACAGCCATGCTGCCTGCAACAGGCACAAGTACCACAGAGATGCCAGAGAGGGGGTCAGTCATCTGAAAGGACAAAGAGATGATCCAAAATGACACTCTGATTTGAAATTCCAAATACAGGGTCACAGGTTTGTCAGACCTTGCCACAGAGATGCGCAACAAACCTGGCCATTGACTGAACAGATTAGCTCTCTAACAGAACAGATTTTTTCATCTGGCGCTAATCTGGTGCTCATTTATAATCTCTGCACAAATCTTTGTGAAGCCTGGAGGGTTTTAGAGTCTTTGTGTTTTACAATGGGCTGGAGAAGAATTTCATGATGAATATCCGGGAGTGCCATAAACAACTTGTGGCGAAGTTTGCAGAAATGCACTTTTGCCTTGGGCTGCCTGGACCTAACAGAAAAAAATCC